CAAACCCGCTCCCAGCTTCGAAAACGGCCCCCCAGATCGACCGACACCAAGGCCGAAAAAACTCGGTCGGTTCGGCCGCGGCCGGGGGGGTCCCGGCCTAGGCCGCCGGCCGCGGCCTGGGCCGAACTCGGCCGCGGCCAGCGTGCGACATAGCTCTTGAGTAGTCACTTTGTGTCAACGTTCCTAGGCATCTGGTTGAGCAGCGTGTCTGAAGGTGTGCAATCCGGCCCACCCTTGTGCCCCAACTCTACACCGAACCTGCCAGCCCTTGCACCTTATTTATCCTCGCATGCAACGAGTCTTACACCCGGTTTGATCTGGCTGATCAAGAGGCAGTTTTAGGACAGCCCCCACGGTCCTCAATAATTATTTAACGTCACAATCAGGATGACGATCACATCCAGAGTCAACACCGAGTCCCCGCCAGAAATATTTAAAGACGGTCTGGAAAGCGTTTGTTCAAAGGGCTGGCATGCCCTGCATGACCTCTATTGCGCAGCAGCAGAACCAAGGACGTGCGGCAAAGCATGCGTGTGCTAGTCCCAACGGGTTGGCATGGTGACCGTGACCCGAGTGCTTCGTCCAGGGCCCTTCAGAGGCATCGCCCCTCTCCCACCAGCTTGCTGCCCAGGAAGAATGTTGACTCTCAAGGTTGAGCGCTCGCGACACCTCACAATGAGAGGACTCTCAAGACAAGACTCACTTCCTCACTGTAAGAAGCAATGAAGAGGGTAGATAAGGAAGGAAGCAACGTACCTCATAATGCTGCCCCCAACCACAGATTTCTCATCGGCGACCTAATGTGCATTTATGAAGACTCGTCTTTGCCTCGGCACAACAAACAGCAGAATGCAGTTCCACCTCGGCTTAAATGCCACATCAGCGAGCTCTCATCATCCAGCGTACACCCCTAATGTCACCACATAGCTTCCTGGCGCGCCACACGGCCCTGGGCCGCCTTACATCCAACGCCTGAGCCTTATCACTGCCCCACACCTGATGCGAAGCACTGAACAGCTATCGCGAAGAACCAATGAAGCGCAGTTCGAACCAGCTCCGATACCAAATTGCAAGGAAACTGAGCAATAGCGAGATGACAATGTCCAGCATGCATAATCACATTGAAGGCCAGATATTATCACAGTGGCCAGAAAGCAGGAATGCACCAATATAACACCAATGAAGAATTGTAACACTGAAAACCAATGTCAATGAGAGCTCTCGCCACCACCAGCCTACTTCCTACACAGCTACTCTCTGCCTACTAATTGACAATGCAACTGTTGACGTCAGCAGCCTCTGAAGTACTTGAAGACGTCGCCCATGCAAATCATCGCCAATACCAGGTATGTGCCCTCACATCATCATCATCATCATCATCATCATCATCATCATCCTTCTCTCTCTCCCTCGTCTTACTCCCACGTCTTCCCTTTGCACACCCGAAGATCACCCCTGCGACTCACTCTACAACCAAGCCCTCAGCCAGCTATGGAGGCTGGGCTATGGCGCTGCCCTTAGCAGCGCCCTGCTCCCTGCATGACCGCACGCGCTTGCACCTCACCTCTCAGCGCCAGCAGCAGCCCACGAGCGACTGCTCCAGCAGCGCTGCCGCTAGCATGCGAGTGCCTGAATGAGGCTGCCGGTGGCGAGCTCTTTCGTATATGGAAAGAGCCTCCTGCCTTCGCAGCCTGGCTGGGCTGGCCTGGGCCCAGAGGCTTCCAGGAGGCCCCAGAGTGCTGCACTGGTGTTGCAGCTACTGGGCCTCTTTCGGTTGGGCCTCACAACTGTGAGTGTATGAGGCTGCGATTCTCATCCAGGGCCTGCATTCTTGGAAAGGCCCAGAAGGCCGTGGAATGTCTTTGTTGCTCGGCCTGTATTTCCCTTAACCAACTGGCGCGTCGCAACTGTCTGGACCCCCAAATACGAAATTGACAGTCGAGGGCCTCTCGTGATTTGTTAGGCCCGCCTTCACTTAGGGCAGGCACGTATGCAACAGAGGGCCCTTAGGCTTGTCGAGGACCCAGATCCTCGCACTTGGGCACTGGGCCCGATATAAAAAAAAAAGCAGTTCCCAAAATGGAGCAAAAAAGGCGACCCTAAATCTGCCAAGCGCCACACTGGGTAATGACTGGCGCAGTTTTTGACCCCCCGCTAAACTTGCATATTTCAAAACTCACAACGTGACACCGGCACCACTCAATCTTTTCTTGCCTATGTCCAACAAAAAGTGTGTCACAGCCACAGAGGGGCTGGCCGGGCTGGGCTATGGCTCGCAGCTGGTTGTGACGATTTCTGCATTGTTGTCCTCTGCGCTTGTGAGAATACTTAGCTCAGGGCCTCTCCACTGTCACCACACGGCACATGAAACGAAAACAAAAGGAGTGCATCTGCCCACGAAAGGTGGCAAGATACGCTCGTTACTATTTATAGCTAACCCATGAACATGGCCATTTTCTGCCGGAAGATGCACTCATTTCTTTTTCTGTTTCGTGTGACGCGCGGCGACGCCCTCAATCTTGTGCAAAAACACCAAAAAGAAGTACTCAAACATTTACGGTCAATTTAGTCCAATTAACATAGTTTTTTTTTTTTTTTTTCTTAACATGCTCCAATCTATTCGTGGGGAGCAGCACGTGCTGGGAATCGGGCCCAGCGTCCCATATGAAGACATGTACAAAAGATTTATGAACAAATTGAAGTACCGGGGCCATTACCCTGTTTCGGCTTGAGAGTATCCTCCAAGATCATAAACAAACTGCTGAGAATCGGGATAGATGATGGGAAAACTATGAATATAGATGATGAGAAAAACTACGAATCCTTTTTTACGATCGCTAAACACCTCCTGAAATCCATCCACAATTCTCCGAACACTCAAGTATCTAAGGGAATTCCAGCAGATCATAACAAAGCTCACCAAAACTGACTTATTCTCTGACAAACTCATCCAGGCCTCACGTCCCCTATCCGCTAGGTTACCGAGCAACGCGACTCACTCCAGCTCCGACCAGTGTCGTCCTGTGTCAGCAACCCCCAGCTGTCCCTTAGGATGCCCCCGCATAGCATTCCCAGATCTCTCCAAGGCCTCATGCCCTCACCTTAGGCAAGTTACAGGGCATCACCCCGGCTCCGGCCAGCGTCGTTCTGGCATGGAACAACCACGGATCCTGAAAATTACAGTCTAATTCCAGTGCAGCTTCATATAAACCACCAAGTCCCTCAGAGTCCTGAGAGATTCTTCAAACTACCAGGAAATAAAATTGAGAAAATGTCAGTTTTTTTAGGCACACTCACACTATGAATATCCTGGATGCATCTGACCGGAATCACAGCTGGCCTCAAATGTAGGCGAAGTACTTTACTTGCAAAGTTCAGTCGAAATAGTCCCAGTGTGAGTACTCCCTTAGAAAATGTAGCGAGAAGAAGAAGATAAAGTAGAAAATTACTCTGTAATATATATAATGTTTCCCCTCTTCGGTCAGTCTCATTTAGGGCAAACTCACATGAGGACCTTTATTCCAGAAAATTTTGGGACTTCGCGATCTCAAAAAAGTGAATCTGTCGTTGTGGGTGGAAAAAAAAAAGAAAAGAAAAGGCCCATTGCCAGAATCACACTGACATCACATTTCGGATGAGATACGGTCTTGGGGTTTTGCCAATTGCACATGTTGGTCACACTGTTGTCACACAGCAACTGGATCTAATCTTCCTTTTTTTTTGGGTTGGGGGGAGAAGGGAGCGGGGGGGGAGGAGATTTCCTGGCCTCCTTCCTCCAGCCTTCCTTTTTCAATTTCTGTACGTCAGCGCTGTTTTCATGAAACGGTTTCTCTCCTTTTAAAAGGGCCCTTACCCGTTCAGACCCCGAATGACGAATGCAGCATAATGGGGTAACTCGGCCAGAGCCCAATTCGTGAAAAGCAGATCAAAAGACATGTTCTCTGGACGCTGGACCCGGTTTCCAGCAGGTGCCGCTCCCCACCAATAGATGGAACAGCCCGACAGGTAAGCCCTGAATCCTGACGGTTCTCCTACCACTGTCAGGATAGAGGGATACCGCAAGGGCTTTTCTCACAAAAATAAAAGAAAAAAAAAGACATGTTTTCTGCGTCGGATGTCACATCCTCACTAAGTGAGAAGTCGTGTCAAAGGTCACAGTCGTGCCCCAGGACGAACAGTTGCAGCAGTCAATTGTGGGAGTCATACCTGTTCGTCCAGGGGGCTGTGCAAGTCATGTCTGTTCATGCAGTAGATGTGTCTATTCGTGCAATAGATGTGTCTGTTCATAAAGAAGTCAAAAGATAAGGTCTCAGTCCAGATCCAAGTCAAAGAGGGAGTCTAGATGCAGACTGGAAGTCCAAAATCCAGGCCTGAAGGCCGCAGCAGCAGCAGACCCTGAGGATAAGGTACTGGGACACACTCCACAGAG